TTTTAACTTTATCTTTTCTGATCTAATGCCATCCTGTGTCGTACACCTGAACATTACTCTATTTGAACACACAAGCGCAACATCTCCCGTTTTCTCCTTGTGCCTAATGGAGCGAGTGAATGACGCACTTTATGCAAAACCAAATGAGACATCAATATATTTCAGAACATTGACTTAATGATGCAAGAGTTGCAATCAATGGGCCGTTCTTAAACCTTAATGCATTGACTGGTAGCACCTGGCATTTGTCTATGATGCAGATTACGTTACCTACGTGACGGAAATGATATACTTGGCAAGCATTCAGCCGGTATTTACATACATATTTTATACTGCGGTAATATCCACAATAATATATTATATTACCTACAGTATCTTATTTGCGTAACTAAATATATATTTTCATATCTTTAATATTATACATAATCTATGCGTTTGTAACGCCACTTTCAGTCATCTTGCTTTCAGAAAAGTGCTACAATATCTCCAACACATTTTTGTAACTGTCCGAAATTTTGCAAATTATCTAAATATCATACAAAAGTTTCTGGTTCTGTCACCCGTTTTTGTCATGTTAAAACTCAGCATGTCCGCTTAATCAAGAGCTGCACATTTTATCAGCCTCAGCGCATTCTTTAAGGATATCGTAAAATGTTTCATTTTTCTTCTCATAATTCTCGAGTATCTTGCAAAACTATGGAACTACACATAATGGTTGTCAATTCTTTGCGCAGTTTTGCTACATCTTGTGCTCTATGTGCCAGAAACTAATCCTCTGTCACATACTACAGTTACAACTATAAATTTGAGTCAGACATTGTCACATATTACAGCTACGACTATAAATTTGAGCCAGGCACATCATACAAATAAGTCTGCCTTCACAAGGTGTACGTGCCACGTGTCATATGTTTAAGACGCGTGAAAAAATATGAAAATACTTCTTCAAATGGACGGTTCTTGCATCGTAATCTCGGGCTCTGAATTAAGTCCCGTCATTACATCAAATTGGCATTCTCTTACATCACATTCTAAACAGCATTGAGCAATTATGAATTTTTAAGCACTATCATAAAAAAAGCCTCTTCCTGTATGAAAATAAAATATCACATGTTACAAACATGATTACAGCAAAACAGTTAACAAACTCATTGTTCTGTCTTAAAAAAATAAGTTTTGCATTTTTTTTTCAATCTCGCACTTACATCATCCAAACATCAACAGCAGCTGTAACAATAACAATATACAATATCAGCAACATTTCGAGTGCATCATCTCTGGAAGCTTTGGGTCGCAACGGGGACCATGCGACTGAGCGTTCCCGTTACACTGGAATTCATACGAACAATTTGGTACCCATCCTCGTCCGGTAATTTCCTAGTGTATTTTTTCTTTGGGAGGGTAGGATAGGACTTAAACACAGTGGGAGGATTATCTGGCCTTTGAATACCAGCATCAGTGTATCTTAACAACACTCTTTTATTGGCAGTTTCAATCTCGTTCAACTCCCGCCTATAGACTTCGGCCAAAACTTTGTTTCTGGAGGATATTTTCATCGATTTGGAAGGTTTTGGCGATTTGGGGCATTTCGGTGGGAAAGGGGCCGTTAGGGTCAATACAGTTTGGCTCTGAAGAGTAGGCCGTGGGTCCGACGTGAAAGAAACCCTGGTCCTCCGCCCTCCAGCGCTGCGCACTCGTTGTTGCCCAGAAACGTCCAATTGGATGCCGTCGCTCTTGCAAGCGCACGAGAAGAGCTCGTTCTCAAGGTGAAGGTTGTTTCCGTTGCCACACCTGGAGCACGTTCTGGCCCACTCATCGATATTGGGGACTTGAGTGCTGCCTAGTAGGGTGCAAGAAAAAAAGCAAATGTGGGGTTAGTATTTGGTTAATAATGCATTGACTACAACAAATATACAAGCATAAAATTTAACAGAATTCTAGCTGTTCCTCTTAAAATTTTGATGCATCTACTTTTCTATTAATGCCCTATAAAAATATAATTCCACACACTTCCTTATTAGGTAAAGAAAATAAGCAAATACGAGGGGGATACATCCCCGATATTCATTTCAAGTATCTAAACGAATGCAATAATCCACGGCAATTCAAAAACACCAAACCACATTTTAAAGAAATTGGTATAGACCCTAGTTAGGCATAAATATAACCAAACACACAATTCACTTTCAAGACGCAAAACTACAAAATGATAACACAAAATAATATCCCAAGACAAATATATGTCTAGAAAGTAACAAAATGAAACTTAACACGAAGGTCTAAGGGGAAGAATTATCTTGGACCAAGAGGGAAAGTGTGCCAACAATAATGTATCATAAACAGCAAAACAGCAATACGGATTATACGGTAGAGTCGACCCTTAGGGAGCGCATTTGTCTACCACCGTGGTAGGGCGCCTACGCAGTGGACAAGTTTTAAGCCAGGACCAGGTGCGGGGTAAAAGATGGGGGATGACCCGCGTCCCTGCTGGGACCAAAGCAGATGTTTTCGCCAGTTAGCCAAAGGAGGGATGCGCTATCATTACGTCCAGAAACGTGGCAATTTAAGCTGGCAGATCGAAAGATCGATGTCTGGAAGCTGGGGCTTTTCAAGGCTCAGCCACTCACTAAGACGGCCAGAATTCCACTTGGTGCATTGCGGATATGATCTCTCTCACTCATTAAACTTAATTATCTTTAAAAGCAGAACACTGCTCCAATGGGAGCATGTTTGTTTTGGCAACTTCTTATTTTTAAAACTGCTCAGGAAGAACGAAATTGAATTCTCACAAGGGTCCATTTCTTTTTTGTTTAACTAATTATTTTAGAAAAAGTTTTTTTGCTTCATTTTATATGCTGCTCCCCCTTCCCCTTTAAAGACAATAAATAAATAAATAAATAAATAAGAACGTAATCGTTTCATAATAATAAAGAAAAATAATTACTATTTCATAGAAAAAAGGGCAAAATAATATCAATAAAAAGCTTAGGATAACTTTAGCACTGCCATACCAACAGACGGAATTCAACTCAAAAGGAATTAAAAAAAAAGAGACATGTGAAAGTGTGATAAGGAGGGTCGGATTTACCACTTCATTTCACCTAATTGTGAAAGACCCGAAGGAGCGTGCCTTCTGTCCAGAACAAAAATATCAGCCACCACTATTCTGAATTTCTGAGCTCAATTTGGGGATTTACCCTAATACAATGTCCTCCCATTAGTAAAAGAAAATGTAGAAAATGAAACCAGACCATTTCAATCATTCGGTGAATGTGAAAATTAAGTGGGAAGGCAAAAGGAGAGGTTCACAACATAGAGGCCAGTCCGCATGCGCAAGACGTAAGACAAACGGCGCACATATAAAAAGGTAAACTGAAGGAATAAATTATCAAATATGACGAAAAGCCAATCATATCTGAAGAGACTGTTTTGTTCTAATTATGAGGCAAGGCATTTCGACCCTTGATCACGTGACCGACTCGTCACGTGTCAAAACGTCATGCATCATAGGTAGAAACCACTTTTCGTCTCTTTGAAAACGATTTGCAATATGTCGCCATAACGTATCCAGTACGTTTAGATAAAGAAAGGAGAGTGAACAAAGACCACTGTGATTCACAGAAAAGACAAGTCAGTACTCAAACATATAGTCTGTTACCGTGAATAAATGCGGATTCGAGGAAGTCTAAATTCGGTGGGGGTTACTGCAAATGCTAAAAGGGAAAATGGAAATGTTTTAAATCGCTTCCTACTGGGAACTTGAACCGTGACTGTAACTGCTACATGAAAATCTACTTCTACGTTAACTTAGAAAGTCTAAGTAAGAACATATCGTACTAAATGTATAAAATGAAGTTTAGAAACTACCCATTTTGCTTCAATGCACACGGTGTTATAAACTAGAATAATCAGAGAAGCGTCACACGCAAGAAAATTGTCTCTACCTGCCTAATTTTAAATTTGATGATTGATGAATTTCCACTATCTTGCGTGAAACGCACCAGGATATTCAATCTTGTCTACACTGTGATGTAACCAAAAATAGACAGCAGCAACATTAGCTTACTACTTACTGCTTATCTAAAGTATAAACCTATCAGTTAAAGAGATAACATGCGTGCATCCTTTGTGCAATTAGGTAAGTGATATATATATCAAATGTTAGTAATTATCGCTACGTTACTTATTACGACGTATTCGTGTGTACGTTACAGAATATGCTGTTACGTCACAGCGTGTCCTAATATCAAAGTGCACATCAACGTCACAAGGTGTAGTATTACGTCAAGGTGCCAGGATACGTTTCAGCTGCAGTAACTGTAGGACAAATGCTATGATCAATGGAATTTTAAGCGTTGTTTCAGAACAAGCTGTTTGTAGTAAACCATGCAAGGAATCACGGGCCATAATCACAATCACGTATATCGTAATATCCCTACATTACTGCAGCATCGGGAACAGTGCAAACGATTAATTTACTTGTTAGTAGTTTTGACAACCAAGACGTGGCTCCGAAGATGAGGACGGATGACAGGGATTTCGAGTGGTAATTTTCTGGGAGATATTCTCGGTAAACGATTCAGCAGCAGCCCAGGAAAGCAAGATGGCCGAGAACCTTCCGTGTCCCTTGTGAGAGGCCCACTGACATAGAGTGGGGAGAGTAGGCGACCTTTGAATACTGCGGGTTGAACGGTTTTGGAAATTAATCAAATATTAATTAAAGTATGTAGGCCAGAGAACAGTACAGTGTAACTGTTGACTGATGCTAGAACATACCCTGTAACACTTCACTTTGTATCTGAAGCCTAGTTAACAATTTACATGTAATGTATAATTTTATCTTACTTATCATGACATATTAACTGATCTATGTCGATAATGACTGAGATGACTACTGAGATTAAATCAATAAATATCTAAATCACTTACACAATAATAATAATAATAATAATAATAATAATAATAATAATAATAATAATAATACTATTAAGCTACAGAGCATTTTTAAATTTAGCCAAGCGTATACGATAATGTTCAATAACATTTTCTCATATAAAAGCACTGCAAGTGTAGTAGAAGTTTCAACAATAATTCAACAAAAGCTTCCACTTCAACTGCACAAAATAAATACTTAAACCAAGCCTTATCGCCATTATACATAACAGCTACAAGTACGTATATATCAGTAGTCACACTGCATTGTCCAGTACCCTGAACAAATGATTAAACTGACCAGGGCGTGTACGGTCAGTGCTGAGGCTATCAGGGGAGAGAGCTCGGATTAACCTAAGTTTGGGCTTTTTGGTCAACTGGAAACTCTTCTCCCTGGCATTCAACGCAGGGATATTGGCGTAGGGGACCTTGGGCAGGGTAAGCCCATACTTTTGTTCCAAATCCTCCCTCTTACTAACATTGGTGTACTTTTCGTATTTCTTTAACAATTTCCTGGTTTTATGTTTAATGACCACGTTATAATTACCTCTTGGTGAAGAAATAATGGGTGACACAGAGGCCATTGGAGGAGGGGGAGAAACATCCTCCGTTGATGCTAACACTGGAGGTTTGGACGACTGTCTCACTGTGATCATCTTGCTGTTAAAATTATTCTGTGCTCCAACAATCGTTGGACGGGTTGACTTGGGTTCGCTATTCGAAAGTCTTAACTTGGGTTTCACAACCACTTTTGGAGGCTCCTTAGCTTGAGTATTGCTGGATGACGAGTCTTGTGAGGTTTTAGGTGTCACAGAATTGACTTTTGATGTAGCTGCCTTGTCGGTGGAATTTCGAGGTGAGGTATCTCCCGAGACTAAGGTTGAGTTGTTGTCCCGACTAGAAGAGGTATCCATGTATTGCTGTTTACGGACGAAGCCTGGTTTTCTAATCCCACAGCCTTCCACAGACATGTCCAGGCCAATGTAAGGTGGAACATTGACAGTGGGCTGCTTGTACCCGAGCTCAAAGCGTCCGATATCACAGTTTTTGTCATATTTTCTGTCCACAACAACTGGAAAGGAATAAAATAAGTAAATATTAATCATTTAAATTTTGGCAGGCTTTCTGGTAATGGGTAAAAAGCCAACTGGAATATTTTTTGCAATTAAAAGACATGAGAATCAGTTTTCATCTTTGAAGTATTTCAAAAATTTATTTAAGATTAACATATCCTGAAAACATAATATCTAAAATATATGACAGGCTGAACTAAGATGAGAATTAAACCCTCCGTAAAGCTATCACTGTTTTCCAGAACACAATTCACTTGCCAGAGTTGACCATTGTATTACTGATACGACCATCTACCAAATGACCCTCACCTTTGACCACATCGTCCAGGACAGCTGGACACATCTCGGCGGTCACTTTGGTGCTGGTGCACATGCTGGGGCTGGAGTTAATTTCAATCAACCACGGCCTGAAGTCCTCTGTCAACATGAAGTCAGCACCATACAACTCAAAGGAATTCTGAAACAAAATTGAGAAAATTTTAATTTCAAATTGTTTATGTTCTTAACAGCACTTTTAGTTTTTTAATGAAGATTTAAAAGAAGATCATGACTCAGAGTTTAAACAATAAATATTGACTTGAAAATTACAAGTTACATTTTGAAATAGGGTATGAGCTTGGAAGCAATATGTGGAAATTGCTGTTCTTTTATCAATAAATGATATAAAAAGTTAATTGGACTTCAAGTCTGTTCACAAAAATTACAAAATTGACTCTCATGTAATATTACATAAAAAAATAAATAATAAAAAGTATCGCTGCTCACCTTTCTGCCCTCCACCACATCCTGTGCCGTGAGTAAAGCACAGAGTATAGCCTTCTTCATCCCTGGATACACCACTTCCTGCCACACTTTTCTACCAATTCCACGTTTACTGAAAAAGCAAATTGCAAACGCTTAAAAATGTCATTATTGATTGAGAGGATTTAAAATTACAAGGGCATATTGCTGAAAAATCAAATCCATTTAAGGACATCAAGATTGCCAAAATATGAAGAAAATCACTAGTAACATTTTTTTTTCTTACACATACTTTTTAATGTCTGAGGGTTAAGTTTGAAATAAATGCTGTAAGGGCGTTTTTCCTCGTTTGTAACAGTAAACCACATAATCCGTTAAATCTAGAAACATCTAGAAATATTTAAAAGAAAGTCTTTAAAACAACTCTATGAATATATAATGGATCTTGAAATATGGTCCAGGCTTCACTTAATTACCACATATGCCTAAGAGTATAATATCGTATTCAAATAAATACAAATATGAGAACAAAAGTAATACGTCCATCTGCTTTATCCTAAATCAATTTCCTACCCACTCAGTTGAACAAGCAATATGGACACACTTGAAACAAACAACTGGTATCGACGAGTGCCCGAATAAAAATAATTTGTTTATCCCTGTTTTACTTTCCATCAATACACCTGACACCTACACAGATCAACTCAAACCAAGGACGTCCTTTAAATAAAACAATATGCAAATATGAGCAGTGTCTGCAAAAAGCGGGTGAACTATTGGATTTCAAAGTAATCTCCCATTCACACTCGGCTAACTTGACAGCTGGTATAGCAGTGAGAGAACAATAATCCATAACAACTGTGTTTGTTTGCAGTAAGTACAATTTTAACTGCTGCCAGGCAAAATACAGGGCTCTGATATTATACTAGTAGTTATTTTGCCTGAAGCTATAATCTATGTTTTGCAAATCTAATATGTGGGGGAATTCAGTGGCAAACTGTTGAAAATTATTTATTCTATTTCAAAGCTAATCTGAACTTTTCTTATCCGATGTTAAAACTTTTACAAATGTGCCTGTGACACTAGATTACCAATTACATCCCATAATATACATCCCATAATGCTCATGTGGTAATCACATAACCATCTCTCCTTCTCCCTCATTGGAGTGTTCCCCATGTTAAAAAGAGTAGAATAAAAAACTGTACTACAGCTTACTCTATATCAAGAACAACCCATAATGCCCAGTCACTTGTCCCATAATCATTATTGGGGCGTTAAAAAAAAATAGAGTAAACATAAAGAATCGACAAACTACAACTTACTCCAAATATTGCTGGAATTCTTCACTGCTCCACATGTTATCATCTGGAAGCTCTGAGGAACGACTAGCATTGTTTTCATAGTGCTTCTGTATGGCATTGTTTGAAAGATGGATGGACCTGAAAATGAGATGATGGACATCAGTGCAGCATGAGTTAATTCAAATAACTGTCCAAAACATTAAGGCTCTCATATACAGAAATGAACAATCATAAAACATTAAAGACAACAGTACTTGTAAATGGGTTATCCAGAATTAGGATTTTTACTTCTTAGTTGCATCAAAAAGTATATGACTGTGACGATCTATTGCTTTTGCATGTGTGTGTGTGTGTTTGTGTGTGTGTGTGTGCATGACTTACTCATTGAAGTCCTCTAGTGTGTATTCCTGTGAACAGAACCTGAGGTAGCAGTCCTGGTAGAACCACATGGTCAGAGGGTTCCAGTCCGTCACCAGGAACCACTGGCGGATGTCAAACTTTGTGTTGTGAACAAGTACAGGCCTCTCTGGGAACAAAATGTTGAATATCAATATATAAATCAATGAATAAATTGGAAACATCCGAGTAAAACAAACACACACACACACACACACACACACAAAAAAAAAAAATAGATGTTAATAAAATGTAAGACTATCCAGATATCCTTGAAATCCAGATATCCATATTACCCTATATACCCACATTATCCAGATATCCATACTTACCCATATATTTCTGAACCACATATTTGCTGTCCTTCTTCACCACGGAGCTGCTGACCAGCGCCAGCATGTCCTCTAGCCTGTCATAGCACGTGATTCCGCGACCACGAGACTTGGCGCCCGGCTTGACAATCCAGACGTTCCTCGTTCCATCCAGGTCCAGCTGCGGCCAGTGTTCCCTGAGCCTGTCCAGCATGATCTGGCATTCCTGTATACGCGCCCTGGCATTCTGGATTGTAGCACCATCACTGGAAAATATAGGTGTACTAGATTAATGCACTTATAAATAAATAATATACAGCTACTCTGATTTATGACTTACTAGAAGACCCTTCTCACACTGAGTGGTGCATTGGGTGGTCCATTTTGACAGTTGGAAAACATACTTATAATAGCCTGGCTGTTATTATAAGAGTCACCTGTACGGAGCACCTCAACATGGTAAATAAATTAACTTGACCAAACAACAGAAAGTGAGCTTGTGGGAATTGTGAGAGACAGCAAAACTCCTGGTAGTGTAATTATGTGTTATGACCTGTTCCAAATAAATGTGCCACCCACTAATTGTGAAATCTTTTAAGAATTCCATGACAATATTCTTATCAGAATGAATGATAACTAATCTATCAGGAGTTGTTGTAAATAAATGTACTTACTGAACTAACTGGTAAAACCACTGGATTATCTGATCCCACTGAGGAGGTGACAGTTCATGTGGCTGGAATTGTAAGGAAAACCCAGTAAATATAATTGTTTATCTAAAATTAATGATACATTAAGTTAACAGAGGACAACAGAAATATTTAGAATATGTTTAAAGCCAAGCTTCATATCATCAAAAAGTCATATAAAATACCAACAAAAACTTCATAGCAAAAATTTATGACATTATATTTGAAGCACAAGTTTTGAAAAATGTGACCACAAATAAGACTTTGTTTCAAAGACAGATCTAGATTATTTGTCCTTCAATATAATTTACAAAAGGTCGCATAAAAGGGGGGTGGGTTTATTTCTCTCTCCCTGCCCAAACAATGTTTTCACAGAACAGCTCCACTCTGTATCCAACATGTACTCACATCAGAGTCCAGGTCCACATCCAGGTGTTCTCTCTCCTGTAGGAACTTCTCACACTGCTGTATGGACAGGTCTACAGCCCTCATGGGGACAAGACCGCCCTTTTTCTTGCCCTTCTTAGACCTGGGTGTGATGCTGCCGACTATTGCAGAAAAAACAAACAAATAAATTCATTTCAGACTAAGAATCTCCATCATGACTTGTAAGACATGGATAACAGTATAACAATATAACAACATAACAATGCAAGTGTATTTTCCATTATTTTTATTGTTATTACTAAACCTGAATGAATGTAAAAAACAGAACAGAAATGAAACAAACTTGGTCAGCTGATTAAAAGAAGACTATTTAACTTCTAAATCTTTTGTAATATATAACCACACACACATACACACAAAAAAAATGATTAAAAAAATCAACCAACCTGTAGGACTTTTACTGGGACTAGTTGAAGCTACTCTGGGAGACAGTAAACTAGAACTCTGACTTTGATGAATACAGGTGTTGCCCTCTGTACTTCCAGGCTTTGACTTGGTACAGTCAGGGTTTGTGCATTGCACCTGCTGTGATTGTGGTAGTTGTGATTGTGGTAGTTGGGATTGCTCTGGTTGTGCCTCTGCTCTGGGGCTCTCTGGCACATCTGCTGTGTCATCTGCTATATCTACATACTCTGATTTTTCAACCACCCACTTCAGGATGTTCATGCAGGTGGTGAACCTGTAGTCATCTGAAATGAACATAATTTTGTTCTTGTTTATATATTTTCATGATGAATATATGGATCAAAATCTAAAGTCCTCAACAATGAACAAAAAAAAAAAAAAAAAAAAAAAGGTTTATGATCCATTTTATCCATACCTTTCCAATACTTGGGAAATATTTCTATTTTTTCTGTGCTTTACAAAAAATAATTTCATACATTACAAAAAAATTATATATTGATCTTCTCCTACCTTAATTAAGTAAAGAATTATCCAAAATGTTTCTGATCAGATTTCTCCTATCAACATGAATACCAATAACACAACTCGAATGGACAAGGATAATTTAGATACTACAAATGCCTTATGCTTCTAATAATAAAAGTATTTTACAACAAAAATATTTTGATCTGTATAACTCATTTTGTTTATTCTTACCAGTAAAGGCCTCTTTCTCTTCATCATTACTCAGTTTGTAACAACGTGGAAAAAATGCATCTGGGTCAGCATCTTCAAACCATAAAGTGTTCCTCATACCACCAAGAAGACCAACCTAAGACAGCAAAAATTTTATATTATCTTATTGTTTGTTTCTTCATATTAGAAAATCATAAAGCATTATGTAAATCACCCAAAGCACAATATTCATGGAAAAATTACGTATCAATATAACAAAACTTTTCAAATGTCAGCACTTTCATGTTTTTTCTAAACCAGAACTAATAAAATATTCTTATATTGTTTAAAAGTTAAAATGTTGTATCTTATCTATACACTGTCTATTACCTTTGTTGTAAAAGTGGCCTTTCCATAATGGTTGAACATTTGCTCTTTCCTCAGGAACTTGCAGTCAATGGCATCACGTCTGACACTCCAGATGAAGGTGGGGGTCACATTTCTGATCACACGGGACTGAAGAAGAAAAACAAATTTATTACCAAATCACTTAATGGTGATGTTGGCATGTATACAACCCTTGAAATCTTCTTTTGTTGTTGTTGCTGTTGAAGCTGGCAGAAGCTAGATGACAGAAAGTAATTAGTATCAACATTCTAGAGTCAACATTTTGGCTGATATTAAAGCTCAAATTGTTAGTCTTTTAAAATGAACCTTGTGAGAGACTAAAAAATTATATCAATAGATAAAAAACACTAAATAATGTAATTTTACTAATATTATCATATAAATTTTGTAAGTATTTCACTTAATATATCATAAATAAGTCATACTGGAAACTGCAAACTTACCATAATGCCATAAATCCCATCTTCTTCTTCCCAAGGAGGAACAGCATTTTCATCCTTACCCATATCTGTAATAGGAACACCAGAATATATCACAACCAATACTCAGATACAGCAGCAAAACAAAAGTAAAATAAACTAGATGAAAGGAGTAGACAAACAAGAGTAGTATACCAGTACATATCCTATGGAAGGTAGCTCATAATTTAGACAAACTCAGTCGATAAATAAACAAATAAGACAACTAATTTGCAGCTTGAATATAAATCAATATCCCATGGCATGTGAATTAATGGTATTATCCACATTTTCATTTATAAATATTTATTTGCTGTCATAGCACAAACACAAGACACAGTGCTTTAAACTACTCCTGATGCTTTGTAGCCCTCCAAAATCATTATCTTCTTTTTTGCAATTAACCTAAGATAAAAAACAACACACACCAAATATCACTTAGATATTTGTCCACCATTTTCCAATCCATACTTCATGAGGTTAGAATACTTGTGAACATTATAACTGCTGGTGGATGTTAGACCATTATAACTGTAAGTGTATCTTCAGCTAGCTAGTCTTAAGGATAAGGACTACACCCACTCAATTGATTCCTAGTGTTTTTAATGCATTAGATCATTCAGTTTTAGTTTTTAATGATGCTTTAAAGATTCCAGTTCTACTTACCATCATCATCATCATAATCTCCATCATCATCGTCGTCGTCATCATCATCATCGTCATCATCTCCGCCATTGGATGGTTTCTTCTTTCTTGGGGATTTCTTTGGGTTACTCTCTGTGCGATAAAACTTCTCAACCCATCCTCTCTTTCTCATAGTCGTTCTCATAGTGGGGTAGGGCCCAACAATGGTGAACACTCGGCGTTGCTGAAAACAAAATTAAAAACAATTGTCAGATTGAATACAATTGACAAATGGTTTATCATTTCACTTATTAGCAATTTCTGTCATTCATTTGGTTTTATCTGTAAAAAATGAGACAAATAAAAAACAGGTTTGAATGCAATAATGGCATTTAATGCATCAATATTTTTTAGACGTGATGTTTGTGATTAGTAAAAATTCCAATAAAAAAGGAATTTCAATGAATGAGTCTTGACAAAGAGCTGAACAAGAGTTAAAATATATTTCAGATCTATATTTCTATTTTTTCATTAGTATGAAAGTAACAGACACAGGTAAATGAGAGATTCAGTGTGCAACATCTATTGAAACAAAAGAAATTGTCATTGCTGATGCAAAAAGTCTACCACTTCTGGTGCAAACAAATTTCCTGGCAGAAAGGATAAAAGGGCAAAACTAAAAGTGAAGTTCAATGCTGAATCAGGTTAACTTGAACAGGACAGTGTTCAATAATAATAATAATAATAATAATAATAATAATAATAATAATAATAATAATAATAATAATAATGAGACATCTAAACCTGAAAATAAAGCAAAACTAAAAAGAAAATATCAGCGTGTATACATAAAATACTTTCTACATTCGGGTTTGGGTTTGCAATCTGATCTAGAAACAAAACAAAAGGATTTTTTATTTATGACAGAAAAATCACATTTCTGTTGTCTAGTACATCACATTCTTCCCACGGTTTCTGGATCCAACCTCTCCTCAGTAAGGAGGTCTGAATGTGGTGGCAGTGGGTTTGCATGGCAAAGACCATCCCATTCTGAAAGCCAGCATCAAATATCTCTCAGAAGCAACATAAAGTGAAAGGCCTTCTAATAATCCACCCTTTTTTTCGAATTAAATTTTAAGGATTAAAGATGATAATTATGTCAATGCAATAACCAAATAGAAATGACATTTGAATACATAGTAACACATCAAGTATGACTGATACGATTACTGATAAAGTCTGTGGTTGCAAATCATTTATGTCAAGTGCAGAACAGCACTGCTAAAAAATGAAAAACTGGAACTCAACTATCTGCACATGTAGCATGAGAAAAGAGAAGGGTATAGCATCCTTTTAAAAAAAGTGTCAACTGAACTTACAAATAAAATCTATTTCTATATTTATTTGCCTATCTCTATTCTTTACCTTGGCAGCTTTTTCTGCAATCATCTTGGCGTTCTTCACCCTGTCTAAGTTGACCATGGCCAGTTTTCTGCTGTTCATCTTGGGTCGGTTCAGTCCAGTGCCCAGATCTGAGGGTGGCATGGTTTTACTTCTGCTGTGGCCTATGTGTTCAGGCTCATCATCTGGAACACACAAATTACATGTATATATAATGTATAAAACAACATGGTCTAACATCTATCACCTATGGCAGTTTTTCCTAAACTAATATGTCAGTGCCAAATGTGTTGGATACTATGGCAAGTCCTACATGTGTGTGTGTACGTTTCATACGTATGTCTATGCATGCACATGCAAGCATGCATATACATGTGAGTCATTTTCATATTTAATTTCAGTAAAAGTTAATCAGTAAAACAAAGACATCTACATGTACACTGAATATTTCTCAACAAAAATCCACAACATCCCACCCTATACCCTGTTTCACCAAGTAACACTCTACTCCTCTCATTAGATGCAATACACACTTAGCAGAGACAGATGCCACCAAAACTATGAGACTCAGGGTGATTCAGACCAGGTAAGTTAATTATTCATACCTTTATCGTCTGTATCAGACAGTCCAGGCTCTGGCATGCTATGGCGTAACCTGTTCCTCTGGCTTCTGATGATCACATTGGAATTACTATTGGCAAGAGGTCCTAGGAGGTGAATAAAAAATTTATTAAATATTAAGTCTTTCGAGTATTGATTACCTTCTTTAAAAAGGAGACTTGAACATTTATGTAATATCCACTCATAAAAAGATTTTTTAAAACAAAACTAAGGGCAAAAGAGAAATATAATAATAAAAAAGAATGAAATGATTTTTGTACCAAAATGCACAGCTCTTCACCATGCACTAGTTTCATACCAAGGTTAAAAATAAAATCTCATATACTGTTGAAGTGACAAAAAAAAAAAAAAAAAAAAAAAAAAAATTCAAGCCATCTGTTCATGCACAGTAACTCAGGATTAAGTAAAGTGCCATGTCTACTAGTAAATGAATCAATAATCAGGGACCCCACAGAACTTATGAAGAATACTGTAATTAACAGGGTTTGTCACACCTGGCTGACCTGGAATCCATTAACTACTGAGTACCTACTCAGAAGCTGTTATCACCTAGAGCTCTAAATCTGCCTATTACATAGTTGACAGTAACAACTGAATAATAGAAATTAAACACTCTGTCTCACTCACACACACACAAACACACACACGCACACACAACATTTTATTCTTATTTCATTCCACAGTCGAAAGCAGTTTCAATTAGATTACATATTTTTCGTATCCTTCATCAATGACAGTGTCAAAGGTATTCCTCATATCATGTGTCAAGCTTCAACAAACTGATCAATTAATTGTCCCAGTGCTCTTTGATCAGTGGAGCAGGGATGCTGGAGAAGCAGAACCAAGGGGGTATTCAAAGCCACTGATTATAAATCAATTTTTTCCACACTTCAAGAGGGTAATCAAGCCTTGGAAATAAATTAATTGGCTGTTATTGACCCATACAAGCTGAATATTTCATGTCTAGATATACTGTGTGACTGGAAGATTTTGAGCACTGATGCATTTCGGAAGGGGTGAAATCACATCTTCTGGAAATAATTTTATATATTCTAAAAGCTAACAAGATGGATTTGTGGGCCAAGTTGTTAAAAGGCCAACTTCTCTGTTTTATTCCACATGTAATTGTATACGCACCATTGTGTGCTCTGCAAACAGGTGTCTGACTGCATATTATCATTAATTCTACACTTAAGGGGAAAGTGAGCTGATAAATATTGGAGAGAACAAACACAGCAACTCTTCAGTAACAATTCAACCTCTGTGAAAAAGTACACCTGGATCTCTTCCACAGTTAAAATCCATAAAATACATCTTACCCAGTTTTTTAAAGTCACGCAAAATTTTCTATGATATGTTTGCCTATCACTGTTGCTGAAGGCTCAGATTTCCTACAAATGGGTGACCTAGGTTGATCCCTGTCAGATGTCACAAATAAAGCCAGACTAGCTCCAATAGCAACAAAGTTAAAAATAACTTACAAACATATTTTTAAATCACTGTTGTTAAGAGAACCCTTTTTTATCATTTTGAATTCTTGATATGTCATAGCTGAAGGTTGATATAAAAAGCAAATTCCCTTTCGTTTTGTTTATTTTATTTTGGCCTGTCCTTAACCTTAAAACAAACAGATGGTCTCTTAGCAACAGTGATTTAAAAATATGTTTGTAAGTTATTTTTAACTTTAAGGACTGCAGGTTGGAGATTTTATCTTAAATAAAGGGTCTTAGCCTTTTTTTAATATTCCTGTTGCATTCATATAATGCATCTTCAAAACATCTCATTGTGCTCAAAGCACAGCTCCAAGTTCATTGTGTGACATAATATTGGGTTTTTTTTGGGCAAAAACATCATTTTCAGTTTCCTGATTTTCTCAGGCACCTGGGCAGCTTTAAACATGCTTTTAATGGTATTATAACACTTGAACAAAGTACTACAAAAGGGGTTCAGCAAATTTTCTTAAAGACTTACTGTTGATTTTATCTATAAAAATGTGATTTTTTTAGCCCTATTTGTATACACTCCCCCCTCCCCCCCTTTTAAAACTACTCACCATTCATCAGTCTGTTAAGACCTGTACCGGAAGATGAGGTGGTTATTTTATTAGACCTGGTCAGCCCTGTAGTGGACATTGTGGGCCCACCACTGGACAGTACTGGCATGGTGAATTCCCTCATGTCTTTGTTATTAATTTGTTCTGTGGGAGAGGCTGAGACTGGAGAAGGTGTCACGCATGTGGAAGAGTCACTGGTCTCCTGATATAAAATTAATTAAAATAAAATTAAGAAAAATTAACAAAATACTTTGACACGATGAAAACTGATGAAAGGGAAGGAAACACAATCGCCAGTATACTGTACAAAGTCTATTTTGTTTGCTGAAATAAACAGGTTCTTAATACGACAAAGTATATTCGCTGAGGCAAAGAGAGTGAAAAAAAAAAGAAATTAAACAGGTTCTTGAAAATAGAAATAGTTTATAACCCTTTTCATTAAGAAAAAATTAATTAATAGAAACTTCTTTGCACCTTACTAAAAACAACAACTTTTTGGCACAAGTAGCAGAAAAAGCACCTATTGTGTCTACTAGTAACTTACCCCTCTATCTTTTTCTTTNTAATTTTTAAAAAATTCATCATAAAATCATCAACAGATAACACTATCCATTTGGTCAGATGTGCCACTACATATGTCATTTAATATAATGTTGCATGTACAGTATTCTTTTTACTCTCTCTCTCTCTTTTAATTTTTGTGATCCAGGACCTTGGGCCAAACCTATGAAAACCATATATCAAATGTCAAGGAGAATTTCATTGTGAATGAAACATAAAACTTGGAGTCAGTATACAAACACCATTCACTGTGCAACCAAACAGACCATACAAAGCCTTATCACATTGACTAACCTTAAACCTCCAGTCCTGTTGGCATTAAAAGAGAGCCAATTTTGTAAAGCCATATTGAATCAGTTAAGCTCACAATAGTTTAGAGCACAATGCAAACAATGGACCCACTTCACAGGTAGCCAATTCAGTACACTACACCGTACTTGTTAGAGACCTACATCTATCCCCACCCAACAATAAATTTATATATACCATAAATAAGGTCACTGATTTTTTTTACATTCTTTTTTTTAATACACATTGGGTTGTGAATTGTTAAATGAATACAATTATAATCCAGTGTTTTTTTTCATCACATCTAACTTTTTATTTCATTCCAGTTTGTGTCAAGATAATCTGATTCTTTTTTCATCGCACAATGATAAACAGTATGTATTTATTTAATGTTTTAAATTATACATCACTAACCCTATGTAAAACACCATGCCTAAACTAAAGCACGTATAAAGGCTTAATTTTTATATATATACAGACGGTAGTTCACAAATCTCGAAAGATTATACTTACAAGTCTTTTTTGTTTATCAAGGTGTTGTTGCTGCCTTGACATAAAATCCGTACCAAGATTTTCTACGATCTTCACACTGGTGCTGCTCACTTTAGGTTGAAATGTAAATGTAGCTTCTTCTTGTAATCTTGCTGCTACTGCTGCCGCTTTTTTCATCAAATCAACACGAAGCTGCTGTCCTCTTTCCTTAGTGATCTTCAAACTCGTCTCGTTTAATTTTGGTTGAAAAGTCAATTCAGAACCCGTGTTGTGCGTGATTGGTACCTTAACTACTGCTGTCATAGTCTTCTTTGCATCCGAGGTAGAGAGTCTTTCTTCGATTCTACGGTGTACGGTGAGTAAAAATTGCGGCGTGGCAGCCAAACTATTTTCTTGGTACTGATTGTAATAACCGTCGCGCCTATTTAGAGCTAATTTTCTACTTGTTTCGCTTATTTTAGGACAGAATGTTAACTCTGGGTCGTCGTATGCCTTCTTCCGTCCCATCGGTGCATGGCGGTGGTGGACATACCTTCCATTTTCAACCCAGGACCATGCAATCACGATCTTTCTCTACCCTAGGCACGCTTTGTCGTCTCCATGGAGGCGCCATATTGTTTGGAACCAATAGCTTTAATCTCAAACCTTATCAACACTAAACGCCTTTTAAAATACCCAATTTATATTGTATATCTGGTATTTTAATAAATACCCGAACCTTTGTGTATTTTCTGAGAATAAATGCACATTTTCACCTTAAATTTATATATTCTAGGCATTAAAATAAATATTTGAAAATATCTAAAATTATGTTCCTCGAGTTCGAGAGTAAACGATATTTCCCGAGAGTTCACGATATTGACCTATTTAGTGGGGGTCTTCTTCCTTGTTACTTTTGCGGCTCTTGACAGGTTAGTTACTCTTTAAAATCATATAGCACTACGGTTTTCAAAGATTTTTTAAAATATTTTTCTGCATATTTTCCTTTTTTGATACTGTAAGGCTTGTGCAAATGTCTTTAAAATAACATATTATGGTTTATACTAAACTAAAAATGCGTTAATGACAAGTTGAAAAATAATTGCACAGTCACCAAGGGCGCAGTAACCAATATTTACCCGAGTTCCATAGAATATTGGATACCGACTTCTGTTATCATTTTTTTCCCCGCTGTTTTTAGTTACCAGTCGCTCATGGACGTTCTGATGATATGACATGGGCAATGTTACATCTAATCTTGTTCCAATTTATCAAAATTAATCAAGCGCCATGTTATGTTATGTTATGTTATGAAATGAATTACTCTGTTTAAAAATAGCCTATTGGGCTATATACCCACTCATTTCTAGTGAAAAGTCGGATAAATATATGTTATTGAAATGCATCAATTTTTTTTACATGCCATCATTCATTGTCCTTAATTTTTGACCGAGTAAAGTGGATTAATTTTGGCAAAGTTACAAAATCTCCTGTATGCTATTAAATGTGTACATAACATTATCATTGATGTTACACACACCTTGTGATTGAACTATTTCTTATCTTGTTTGCACAATGATTGAACCATGTGGATTGAATGGGGTGGTGATTGAGCCATGCCATACAGTGATTGGAATTTATACAAGTAGTCAATGAATAGATTTTTTTAAAAATTTTAATAGTTAATATTTTAATTTTAATTGGCAAATTGACTGAAGTCTAGGGAGGAAGAATTTTCATTATTTATTTTTTGACCAATCTTAGTGTAAATTAATGTTGATTACAATAATGCTGAAATTATATTATGAACTCTTGGAACTTACTAGTACTAGTTTCGAACTTTCAGAATATGAATTAAGTACACTGTACATGTAAACTACATGTACCGGTACATAAAATTAGCCTGGAAAGGGTTTGAACCATTTCTTTCTTGTTTAACTTTATAAATGTGTTTTTCAGGATGTCCATCCGCCAAGAGCTGAGGTGTGCCAATTTTGGCTTAAATTATTTCAGGGAGGATGTGTTCTACTTACCACAGGTAAGGAAAACTGATACTGTCTAGATCTGAAAAAATACCTACAGATGGTTAGGCTAACTCAGACATTAAAATTCAGTCAAATGTTGAACCATGTACTGATTTGACTTAAGAAGAAATTATTATTATTATTATTATTATTATTATTATTATTTATTATTTATTTATTTTTTTTTTATTTTAACTTTTGCAATATTAACCCTTGATTTGGTTCAACAGTTTGATTTGGTTGAAATTGTGCATAGTTTTGTAAAAAAGAACTTTAACCTAGAAGGACCTCTAGAAGTCTAGAAGTTTCATATTAGCTTATACAGGCATAGATTAGAAAATGTTAAAAGAAATATTAAAAGGAACCAATACCGTTTAAGGGGCGAATTGGCAGAGATACATATTTGCTAGTTTGCATTCGTATTAAATGAATAGCATAAAACCACATTGTCCATTTTGAGTTGAGAAAAAATATTATATGTTGGCAGGATCTTTAGTGTTTCAGNTTTTTTTTTTATTATTATTATTTTTTTTTTTTTGATTTTAACTTTTGCAATATTAACCCTTGATTTGGTTCAACAGTTTGATTTGGTTGAAATTGTGCATAGTTTTGTAAAAAAGAACTTTAACCTAGAAAGAGAGGGTCTAGAAGTTTCATATTAGCTTATACAGGCATAGATTAGAAAATGTTAAAAGAAATATTAAAAGGAACCAATACCGTTTAAGGGGCGAATTGGCAGAGATACATAGTTGCTAGTTTGCATTCGTTTTAAATGAATAGCATAAAACCACATTGTCCATTTTGAGTTGAGAAAAAATATTATATGTTGGCAGGATCTTTAGTGTTTCAAAAGTCTGCTTTTCATGTTTATTTATTATTATTATTTATTATTTTGTGATTGATGGTTGAGGGGTTGCATGCTGTGTTTTTTAAACTGCAAATATCTTTATATTTGTTAATCCCATCTGCTACCTGGGTTTATGGTGAATGGGTGAATTTTCATGTAAATGTGAAAAAAGAAAACTTTGTAACTTTTTAACCAGTTATTTGTGTTATCATCCCTTTGTTGTGCATCACCCAGCCGGTGGTTCAAACCCAGGAGGGAGTTGCACCTCTCTGGCCCTCTACTGGTAGTTTATTCAAATTCTATCAGTAGGGCATTGTAGTCACATTCAAAATTGAAAACAAATGTCTTAAGGTAGTCCTCTCATATTAGCTTTTTTTGCGATCTGCGCAGGTTTCGCGCATGAGTAGATTTTTGAGATAGCGGCGAATTATGAAAATANTTCGAAAACGAGCGTGGTGACCCCCAATTTTTTTTTCATATTTTTTACTCATATGGTAAGAAGATTTTGTCTTACAATTTTAATCAAAATCGCTAGGGCAGAAATATGAAATCTGAAATATGAGAGAGCGTCCTTAAACCATGAATTAAAACAATTGCTTGCTTTTGAACTTGGGCTGGACGATGCGTTCTGTTCTTTTCCAGTGGAACTGGCCTCCCATGGTCTTCATAATCTATAGAGTGGTGATGGCTCTTTATTGCATGGTCTGGGTCATATATGCTGCATCCATTTCTCCTACAGCTAACCTAAAAGAGCCGTGGTGGGCCTGGTTGACTAACTGGTCGTATATTGTATTAACATGCCACATGGTGCTTGCTGCGGCCATCTCCCTGTGGCATACACCTAAACGTTGCAGCAGGAATAACATTGGGATTGAAGCAGGTGGGGGTAATTCAAAGGACACGGCCCAGCAGGACCATACTTACTACACCAATCCTGCTGTTAGCGCAGATGCCGCCATAGATACCACGACAGATACCACCACAAGTGCCTCCCTTGGTCATGGCGCCTCCAGCGGTACCAACCTGGTGGACACGGAAAATGGGGCCAAAGAGACGTCAGCGTCGATTCGCTGGTACATGAAACTGGATTGGTTGCTGTGGACTGTTGCGAGTGTTTGCGCCATTATCGTCAGCTTGGTGATCATGGTGTTCGCCTACCCAGTCCTGAAGGGCATTCCGACACCGGTGGACTTCCAAGTTCATGTGGCCAACACCATACTCGTTCTGATCGATACCATTGTCGCAGGATATCCAGTGCGCATACTGCACGTTGTCTACGTGCACGCGTATGGGTGCGTGTATGTGGTGTTTAGTGTAATATACTGGGCTGTTGATCACACTAATGTGATGTATCCTGTGTTATTGGATTGGAATGGTCCAGGGTATACCTTCATATCTCTAGGGGTTGTGTTTCTTATTGTTATGCCTTTGTTGCAGTTGATATATTACGGCATTTTCAGATTGAAATTGTATTGTTTGAAAAGATCACCTGCTCCAAGTGGTGAAGTTCCACTTTAAGAAGAAGAATTTTGATGTGTCCAAATTTAAAAATAGAAACTGGAGTTAACATCTCAGCCATACTGGAAGTTATCACACCGAGTAAGATCGTGGTATATATAATACCAATATTTATATTTTGGACATATCTCTATATGCAGTATATCAGGGTCGTCACAAGACAATTTAATTTTTTTTTTTTTTTTTTTTTTTGAGTTTGAAAAGTTAAGTATTAATAATTCATGGGAACAAATATAGCTAGTAAACATTGAATACTAGGGTAAGTTTCTACTCATGAAGTATTTAATTCTAATTTATTAGTTTTTATTATATTATGTTAATTAGATTTTGAGACCAGAACAAAGAATTGTTTAAATATTTATTTGATGCAAAAAGGATCAAAATTTGAAAGTTTTTTTTATTACTGTTTTTACTTAAATCCACATGTTAAGAGTAATTTAACATTATAGCTATTGTTAAATGTAATTTGTCTTTGGACCATTTTTGGAAATAATTTTGAACTTTTTTTTTGTTCTATGTGAAAGTGCTTCAATTGGTGATCATGAGCAGGTGTAGAAAACGTGGTATTGTCATCAAAACGAAAAACAGATGAACAAATTTATCTCTGAATTTACTTTTCAAATTTTCCCCAGCAGATACATGGGATCAATTTTTTCTAAAAATTTACTTTTCACATTTTCTCTACCAAAGTAGAGATCTTTACAACTGAAGCTCTCATGAAATATTATTATATAAAAATACAATTGATGTTATTGCAGAAAAAATCAAAATAAAAGTGCCATGCAGTGTGTCGTAGGATTGAAATGCTTGTAATTATAGTAGAGGGGGTAAAGAAAGATGTAACAGAGGGAGCTCCACTTGGTCTCACCTCAATCTGATGCAACTTATATGCAATATGTGTAATCCAAGAAACATTTATTAATTAACCACGCCCAACTTCTTTTTCTTTCTTTTTTATTTTTTTCTGGTTTATATACAAGTTAATTGAAGTTATTCTGAATATTTTAATATTTTTCTTGTGCAAAATATCGTTTTACATTCTTATGTACATTTAGTGATCAAATAACACTTGTAGTGCCAAATGTTAACATTTCATGTGTGATTTATAAAGATCAAAGATATATTTTACCTTTCTTTTTAATTTTATTGCCACAGCTATGCCATTTTTACATGCATGTGTATTTCACACTGAGTAGTATACTTTTTTACTCTTCTGTGAAAGTGTAGCGAACAAATACAAAAATGTGGTTAACATTTGTTTTTCCTTTCTTGTTTTTTTGCTTCAAAAGTTCTTATACAAAATGTGATATTTTTATACTGTTGTAAAAATTTAATTAACAAATTCCACAAGGGCCTTATCACTTTATATATTATAGTATATATTTATAGTTAAAATATCATATACTAGTAGTTTTTATACTACCATAAAAGATTATTTGACTAATACCTTTTTATATTTATTTGTTAAACTTGTGAAAATTCATCAATCAAGTGCCATATTAATGTTCTAGAAGTTTTGTATGTATAGCTTAGAAACTGTCAAATATTGTTTACTACACTGCCGTGATAAATGAACACATAACACATACCTGTAAATGCCTTATAATATTTATATAGTTTAAGAAATGTTGTGTTTTGAAATTGCTGTAAAGGTTGAACAAATGCCACATAAATGAACATTTTTTTATTTATATAAGAGTGAAATGTATAAATGACCAATACTATTTAGGTAATACAGCATGACTTTGCATGTTCTATGGTATGAATCTGAATTATTTGTTTTAAAATTGACATATTGAAATATTACAACAATATTAAGACAGGGTCTTCCACACAAAGCTGTATGCTTTATACTGAACAAAGACAAGAGTATCAGTTATGTATCCACGCCTTTGCCACAGTGTGACAAACCTTTATAGACCAGGAAAGTAATAATTGTGAAATCTTAATTTAATTTTATGTTGCACTAAGTTGCATAAAGTATTATAAATCTGCAATAGTGAAGGGAGTATTTTGATATAGACATTTGTATTTTAAAGATGGATCAGTTAATCATTAGTTGTTATACAGGATTTTTGAAAAATTAATTTTTGTATATTTTCTATTATTCATATTAATTTGTCTGAAAGTATTCTGTTCTTGTTATAGAACATGTCAGTTTTCAATGCTTTTTAATGCTTAATCCCTCAAACGCGAGAAAATGAGTTTGTTAAATAAAAATGCTCTAATTGCATATGCTGTGTATGTTGTATGTACTGTACCACATGAAACAAAATCGGGGGGTGGGGGGGGGGGGGTACAGTTTAGAAGAGGAGAAAGTCGAGTTATTTTACCTGCTAATTACAACGACCAACCAAAAATAAGCGAAAGCAATTTTTCAACCTGTCTACAAGATATCGTACGTGGATAAGTCTGGCATAGCTGTTCGTGTTCACATTTCAGTCACTCGTTGAAGCCAGCTCACCAAATCGCAATGGTTTTTCATCTACATATTCAGGTTCACTTTTTATTGCAATTTTTCTTCTCCAAGCGATTTCCTATTCTGGATTTCCCTAGGTTGCAAACAACCGGACATTCCAAACAAGATTATACAACACGCTTCATTTTTTTTCTTCGTTTCAGTGGAGATGGCCACCTTTATTGTACGTCCTTTATCGCATGGCGGTGGCGATTTACGTGATCTACTGGCAAATGTACACGGCGGCCCACCAACCCTTGGTTCACCTCCCTTACCCATTCCCAACATGGCTGACGAACTGGTCCTACTTCCTGCTTTCCTGCCACGTGCTCCTGGCGGCTTTGATTTGCGTGATTCACAACATTGAAAACTACCGACAGTGCTGTTCCAGGCAGCGGCGAGTCCCCGTGACACGGCAAGAAGAAGAGGCGCTGCTTTCAGGTGAGGAATCCGTGGCTTCTGGGGACGAGGGCGGTAGCAAGGGACGCCTTGGTTGGCGCGAACCAAGACGAGAGTCTGAATCGTCGGGATATAGCTCCGTAACTGGGATACGGGCCATTTCTATTCCATGGTACATAAAGCTGCATTGGTTGATTTTCACAGCTATAAGCAATTTCGCCATCATCGTAAGTGTGGTGTACTTTAGCTTTCTGTATCCACAGTTGGCAAAAGAGAACAATTTATCGTTTCCACAGATGGAGGATTTTCAGCTTCACGGGGTCAATTCCATTGTGATAATTCTCGACTTAATTATTGCGGCCTACCCTGTGCGATTGGTGCATTTCGTCTATGCTGAAATCTACGGACTTCTCTATGTGATATTCAGCGCCATCTATTGGGCCTTTGACCACAGCCGGGTGCTATACCCTGGGGTATTGGACTGGAATAAACCAGGGTCCACTATGATTATGATATTGGTATTAGGATTGGTTGTTGTACCGTTGTTGCACACGATCTTCTACGGCATCCACAGGTTAAAGCTGAAAATTTGCCAGCAAGCTGCAATGCCGCCCAGTGACCCCGAAGCGATATTCTAAGCCTTCCCATGAAATGGAAACAGTTTTTTTCCCGCGGGGACAAAGATTTTATTGAATACGATGAGCAATATCCAATGCAGGTACCTGTGAACAAACAAATGATTGTCACATTTCTATATGTTATCCTAGTATCTGAATGGCGATACTCGACATTATGTGAAAACGTGTTATATGATACTATTCCTTCAACTTACATACGTCTTACAGCGGGTAAGGCTATGTTTAAGTACATGGGCACATCCATACACAAGCGCACGCACCAGAAAAAGAGAAATTTTGCAAGGTAGCGTACCTGTTGCGTCGAAAGAGCGTCATGTTTGTAACTATGCATAATGTTTGAGAGCAATACTCGTTAAATCCTTCCATGTAATATGAAACCGTCTCTGCAACAGTTTTCATCGAATGAACTAGTTTAACTCGTAACAAATCTTTTTTCCTTAGTAATGTGACAGAAAGTATTGAAATTATATCAGCAAGAACTGTTATTGTTTAAACATTATTAAGATTACCCTCCCAGACTATTATATTGATTAAACTACTGGTACATAATGAGTTGACAATGATGTTAGTGCTGCAATCCGGAAAATTGCACCTTTATGTATGCTGATAGTTCAAAAGCCGTTTGTCCATTGTGAATGGACGTTTACCTATTTGCTGCAGATATTTTAAAAATTTCATAACTTTGTTAGGAAAGCATATAGAGTGTACATTAGCAGCTTTCTCTTGGAAGCATTGATCATGATCATGTAGCAATACGTTTTTATAAAATATTAAATTGTTATGTTTTGATACTTTGATTACATTTAAAATGGATCGACTTTGATATTCTATTTCAATTTAAACATATACGTCTCTTTTTTGAGTGTATATTTCGATATATTTATTGATTACACGCAAAGGAGGACGGGTTTTAAACTTCTACTCTATTTACTAAGTTATGCGAAGATGAACAATCAATATTAAATGTGAAAGTGACCACGTTATCCTATTGTTGATAATGCTAGACTTTTAAAAACTTACACGTCCAATAGACATACTTTTTATAAGTTATTTTTGAATGTTATTGGGTGAAATAAAAGAGGTGATTTGGGGAGCAGTCTGATGGTTTCTTTTAATCGAGACCAACTTACTCAAGAATACAACGAATTGAAGATGCGCATACATTCCTGTAAAACATCTCGAAAAATGCTGCAGTATGGCAGTTAATACGAAAATGTATGAATAAATTTATTATCATTATTATTGTTGTTGTTACCATTATTATTTTCCTGATTTCTCCTCCTTTCCTGCTTGTATAGATGTGAAAAAAATAGTCATAAAGGACCTTGTCAATTTTTAGCTTATTAGTTTTTATCCTTTTTACTGTTCAAGGGAAGGAATAACTTGTTAAGTACCTGGCAACGTTCACGAAAGACGCGTTCATTACTTCAATCAGGTCAAAAGGAAATAGTTTTAATAAATATAATATTTTAATTAATAGTGTCGATAAAAGTTTTATTTCTGCTTATATAAAGAACACGTATAAACTGCGTATTTTTTATCATTGCAACATCCCGGCCATATAAATACAAAAATGCTAAAAAATAAAATAGATATAATTCTTTTATATATTCTTGCAGATATAATGTCATCGAAATAAACTTGGCTGCAAAATAATTTACTTGTAGAAAAATATTGGAAGTCCAAAACAGAAAGATGTCAAGTTCATGTTTTTCTGTCCTTGTGAATTATGGTAAATTGCTGTGTATGCCTTTAGAAGTGTATGTCCACGTTTTTCATAGTATTAAATGCTTGTTTTTTTATTCAGCTCTATTTGTCCGTAGCACTGAGTAATTATTTAAGTCTTGTGCCTTGTGAAGTGTAAAAAGTAGATTTAATATTCGCGGTTTGTCCAGTCCGAAAATGTTTGTATTATTATTTTACGTGCGGTAGAGAAATGTTACTTGACTGGCGGCAGCACGACGCATGCGCATCCTACTACCGGGGAGGGCATGTCCTCTCCACGTGACCAGATCCCTGTCATGGTGTCAAAACACTCCACGGAAGACAAGGCCGAGCCTTCCAAGGTACTGATGCCACCCATCACGTATAGGCAGGAACCTGTAAAATAGGGGGGAAATTAAAAATAGTAATGAAAACGGGGACTTTTTATGAAAATATCGACACTTATGCACTACCCACTGACGTACTGACATTGCCACCTTTGTTTGCCGTTGCAATTTTATGACATAAAAAGAATGCATTGGAATGATAAATTAGTTAATAAATCTTGTGACAAAATAAGGCGTGCCATACATCAGAACCGCTTAAGCTAAATGTAATTAAGCGAGAAACCCCTCGTAAATGGGTCGATCCTCTTAGATTGGTCTAGTTATGGGAATGGGGCCTGAAGGACACTCACCCAGAGCTGCGCTGCCAGCATTGTGCCTTGGTGAAGTCATCTCCGTCCTGGCTGTCCATTGGTCCCTCTTCTCGTGGTACTCCAGTATGGACCCCACGCTGCTGTATGTGCAGTCGCCATTAGCGTACGACGACACAGCGCCGCCGCTCAGGTAAAGTTTCCCGCCACATTCTGACAGGTTGGCATGGCAACGTGGCTCGGGTATTGGGTTTCGGCTGGACCATCTGAAGTCAAAAGCGTATTAACAATAACAGTGGAACTGTCTCTATGTTATAGTTAAAAGTAACAAGTGTATGATAAATTCTGAATAGCTTAAAAATTATTTGGATAATGTGCATGCACTTCCGAGATATGGGAAGTTGTGTCAAATTGTGGAAACATTTAGGCATGAGAGATATTCACTTTAAATGGTCTTGATTGTGAACTAAACTTAATCCAAAGAGGAGAACCCTTGAAATTGAAAAGAAAATGACATAAATATAGGAAGAAGCTGCTAGCCCTCCACCCTCACTCCCACCCCCACCCCCATTGCGGTCAGAGAATATCTTTACGTCACCTGTTCGTGTGCGGATCATAGCACTCCACCAGGTTCAAGATGGGTTCCCCGGATGTGCTGGTCCCACTGTCGGCATAGCCACCAACGATGTAAAGAAGCCCAGAGTGTGCGCACGCAGCAATGCCGATCCTTCCGGTGCTCAGTGGGGCGATGTACGACCACTGGTTGGTCACGTGGTTATATACTTCAACTGAGGCAAGGACTCTGAAACACGAAATAAATGAAGCTGTTGAAAGTATAAAAGTTACCACCACAGACAAGCAGTTACGTTACGACCGGTATAAGTGTTCCCTGCGGGCCATGCCTCAGAACGTCTTTATGGCTTATACCAAAATTTAACCGGGAACTGTACCTGACATCTACCACAAATAAAAAATAATGATTACATAAAAGACGCTTGTTGCACTTGTCAATTACAACACCACCAGTCTTATTTAACACAGATTACTTCAAAGTTACCAATGATATTGAGAAGTTCAGTNACCCGGGAACTGTACCTGACATCTTCCACGAATCAAAAATAATGATAACATAAAAGACGCTTGTTGCACTTGTCAATTACAACACCACCAGTCTTAATTAACACAGATTACTTCAAAGTTACCAATGATATTGAGAAGTTCAGTAAGGCTACATGCACTCACATGTTGTTTAAACCCTCGCCGCCCACGGCGTAAACGAGGCCGGACACTACTGCCACCTTGTGGTGCATTCGGTTTTCATTCATGGACGTCACCTGGCTCCATTTGCGAGTCCTGGCGTTCACTTTGAACACAGTGGATTTGGGGACATAAATGCCGTGGCGACCATCTCGAGGATTGCAACCACCTAGGATGAGACAGAAACTTTTAAAAAGAGGAATACTTTGTGGAAAAATAAGCATCATAATACATCATACCGTTATGTTTTGCATGATTGCATGTATGCAACATGGAGATAGATGAATTTTTTTTTTTGTTTTGCCAAAAGATGCTGCACGTTTTTAATTTTTTACTCTGAAAACCAAACTATTCCAGATGATTTATCTGAATTTCTACACGCAAAATAAAATGACCCCCCCCCCCCCTGACATAGACATAGAGGCATTTCAAATAAAATATGTCTGCTTACCTACGATGTAGATGACTCCGTTCACAATGGCGACGGCGTGGTTTGTTCGTGGCTCTGGGAGGGCGGCCCACAGCTTCCAGGTGTTCAGTAAGGGGTTGTAACGCAGAATACTCGTACCTTGAAAAAATCGCGTAAAACCTTTAGTATTATGTGTACTGTAATGAGAATTATCTGTGTCCTCATCAAATTTAAACAGACATTCGTATTGTTGTTTAAGATATTTGGTTGGTGTCTAGAATAATTTTATCTAAAAGAGACCTGTTTATCATCATAAGATGTGCATATTATGACGCTTACTTGGCGCGATCCCATCCTCGTCTCCAGGCATGCTAGCAGTTGAAAAGCCTCCTATGGCTAATATAGTGAAGGTCGACTGACAGGCTGTCTCTGACGAGATTGCTCTGGACGGCAGGAAACGAGGGTCAGTGGACTCAGGGACTTGTGGTGGAAGGTCCACCATGCAGGTCCTTGGAGTGTGAGTGGGCAGTGGGAAGGTGGACTCTCTGCCAAGGTTGACGCAGGTGCGATACCTTGAAAATACCAAGAACATTTTTTTCTAAGAAAATAACGGCTATTTTAGTATTTTACGCGTGTGAAAAATGCATTAGCGTTGACAATAGTTTCGACCGACAGTCATATTGAATTTTTGAGAATTTCATTTCTTTTTTTATAATCTCATAAATTCCTGTATTGACTGATATTGTATTCATGTCCGTACTGTGCTTAAAATAATACGCACTATTTTTAATCATAAAATATATTACATTTTTACATGAAAAATGCACCCAGCCACAATACCTAAATAGGAATTCACACCTTCGTTTTAACATCAACTCACCAGTTTGCCGCCAGAATTAAACTCTGACATCCATCGCTGGTCATGATTTGGCCACCCTCTTCCACGCACGTGACAAGGTCTTTTGATGTCATCAACATGAACCTGACGCAGCTCATGAGTTGTGCGGCGTAGCGCATGCGGTTTTCTTTGTCGTAGGTCAACCAGCGCATGGCGGCCCGGAAGACGTCCAGCTCAGTCAGCACCCTTAAATCGTCGTCCTGCAGCATGCGGTGAAGCTTCTCCACGTCCAGAGTTGGAAAACCGGATGATGGGTAAATTTCCGGGAAGTGGGACAACACCACCTTGTAGGCTTTTTCATAGAAAACTTTCAGCTTGTTTCGGTCTGCGGTCTCCATGACGGCTATGGCTTTATCGGGCGGGAAGGAGCTGAAAAGATCCTGGCAGACGCTGAGAAGGGGCAAAATCTGCAGTTTTCGAGTAGCGACGTACATCTCACCGACATTATCGTAATTGATTCGAATCTCGGCCGTGTATATGAACTCCAGTATCTTCTGAAAGGCGGACGCGGTGATGTCTTCTAGTCTGATTTTCAGCGGGATGGTGTGCCTGCGGTTTTTCAGCAAAACTTCGGCGAAGTAATCGCTGTGGCAGGCAAGCGCGATGCAGTGGGCGCTGAAAGTGTAGTTTCCGACTGTGATGATGACGTCACAGAGCTGATCGTGCGTGTAGAGCGTTTTGAGGTACTGGCCCATCAGTGCGAAATGCACCATCCGCTCAGTGGCGGTGGGGTTTTCCGTGGCTCTGACTTTGTCCATGGCACCCTCTAAGGAGAAATTCCGCTTGACCTTGATCGGTTTGTCAGTAATTTCGCCCGGCATAGTTGGGCGTAATCTGATTTCAACTGGAAAAATATTGAAAAGCAAATAAAAATTTAAAAGATACCTTTAAAATGACTGATTCTTAAAGACCGTCATTTAATGTTCAGATCAATGCGTAGGCCTATTGCAGATTTTCAGATTATTATCAATATCACATTTTAAATATTGCACGAAGCAAAGTAAGGCACACGACGCGATTTAACCATTCAGATTTTTTAAAATGATTTGTTTTCTGCATCATGTTTAGTTTGATTCAGTTTCGTTTACGGATGAGCTCACCTTGGTTTGTTGCCTGATGTTCGTAGTTTGCAGAGCTTGGCAATCTGATAATGAAATAGAATTGCAAAACATAACAGGAACAACTGAATATAGAAATATTCTAAATATAACCTTCTACTCACACCTAATAAAAAAATATTGAATTCCAAATGATTGGCTTGAAATTTTTATCAAATATTGGCTGGAATTGGAGTAAATAAATTTGTATATTTTTTCGCATGTTTGCACGAAACACAACAGCAAAATTTTCTTAAGCACTGCATTCTCATATTGTATAAAAAATCAGAAAATATCATAATCTGCAGGCCGCTTGATGTTATTTCAGCGATTTGATTTTATAGTAAATTTCCACTTTTCATTTCATGTTAAAAAAGAAAATCAGACAGATAATTCTTATACAACGACTAAAGTGGTGTTCATTCTCATACAGAGATATTGAACTCCCCTATACATGCCATCTAGCCGCTTTCTGCACCACACTCAGGGCTCCTGTTATGAACCTTTGAAAGACGCGTTTACTTATGTCAAATACAAATCATACCGTTACAAAGACGGGCAGACAGAAAGGAGCCCTAAACTCACTAAAAAATAAAGGGCATAAAGTAATGATAAAGGATTAGATACAACAACAATAATAATAATCAATAATAAAATACGACATAAATCAAGAAGATATATTGCCAATATTTACCTCACAGATCTCGCATCGCTGACATGGCTGGGCATTTCAGCATTTTGCCGAAGGATAGACGCTGAAGTTCGTTCAGAAAGTGGTCGGCGGTAGATAGGCGTGCGAGCGACTGTTTCTCCAGACACAGTTCGAACCACGGCGTTTCTTTCTTCTCCTGTCCTAAAATTTACTGTATCCGATCTCCGATTCCTTAATACACTTGGGCTAGTAGTTTGCGACATCTTGTGGTTGTATTCGCCCGGACTCTTCTCATTGTTTGCTCCGTGCTGCATGGTCTTAGTTATTGTAGCAGAAGGCAAAACTCAAAGAGAACGCTTTACGGTGAGAGCCATGATGCTCTCAGACATCTTTCTGTTTTGAACAAAAAACAAAAAATGGTATCCCTGACAATATATTTGTTTATTTTTTGTTATTTTCTGACATCATAACAACCAACGTCAATGACGTCTACTGAAAGCGTCACGAGCTGTTACTTCACGTCACGTGTAGGTCATATCAACAGTTTACGTTTACAACGTCATTTGAGTAAAATCGTGGCGATTGTGATTGTTGCGCTGCGCAACGCATTTCAACAAGGAGAGTGAGTGGCAATGGAGCGCATTTCATTATTGTATTAGTTGAGACTTTTCAATCCCGAATCGAGCCGTCGATGAGAAACGTTAATGTAGTAATGATAATTCTGTTGTCATTTTCGGTTTACTGCACAACTTAAAACAGAAAATAAGTTTCTTTCTTTTTTATCTTTTCGAGTTGTTTTTACGGTCTGTCGTTTTGCCTTTGCTCCAAATCACTGGGGTCAGCAAAACGTTGAATAAATATTAAGAGTTATGAAGAAAAGAAAAAAAGGAAAAGTAAAATAAATAAAAACAAATCAAAACAAATCAAAAGCAAAATATTGCATTTATATTACTGGATACGAAATATGTCACCATCATAACTATAGTTGTATAGGACATGATACGGAAGCAATTGTTGTATATAATGCATATAATCAATTGTAACAATCCGCTTTATTTCGTCTCTACAATTCAATGTTAGGTTCCGAACATACAGTAAATCAGAACAAGATAAACACGGGGTTTCTATTGATTACCAATAAAAACATCGTAACCCAATAAACAGTCTGTAGATTAATTAGGTTCGTTAAGTCATAATTGGGAAGAGATTAACCTGAAATAAGCAACGCTTTTATTCTAAACTCCTTGGTTACAAGACCATCATTGATGGGCAGATTGATTAAGCTGCTAAAATATTCATTGTTGCAACTTCACCTGTGCGTCTATCGCTACTCATGTATATATCGCTTTGTGCGTTCCCTTTTACAATCCATTTTAGTACATATTCTGATGGAGCATTTTCCATCTTTGCGAAAACTGTACGGATATTTAAACTCGCGGTTATAAACTCTTCACTGCGGTCAAAGATCAAATTTACATAACGCGGAAATTATACCTGTTGTTCGGGCGTTTGAAAGATTATATTGCCCACTTAACTCGGTCTCAAATTAACCGTGCGTTGCCTTTGCCAGAGACGTGGTAACGCATACAGTGGAGACGGGAATGTTTCACCAACCCCCTCCTGGTCGCATTGAAACATGATTACCTGTAGTGCGTCAATGAATTAACACACACAAAGGCGCTTAAGCTGTCGACACACATTGGCAAAAGACCGTCTTTGTTGAACGTAACTGAACCGTCCATAGAAAACATGTACACAGGAGCGCTCCGAGAACGTGTATCAACAAAAACGCCGGGACCTAGGCAAACAATTATTAAACGGGCCGGTGACGAAACACAAACATACCGCTACAATGAGGCAGAAATCACAATAGATTTCTCCAACAAGAAGGCAGATCGAGTTGCGGACAAGCTCAGCGCAGATCTGGTCCCCGTGGAGAACGGGGCTAGCCTGGCCCTCCGGAACGCTCGCTGCGTCAACCGTGGCGTCCAGCGTCGCATGATGACCCGCGTGAAGGGCATGATGAAGGCACTGGAGTACAACACAAATAAGGTGAGAAATGGAGACATAGTTGCTGGGTATTTTGTTTACTTGAGTTAACTGGAGAAGCATTGCGATGTCATGACAGCGATCTGTTACAGCCGTCACATGACATTATACTGGTGGCGTATTTTCAATCCCGAGTTTCATAAATCCCGCTGTTGAATTTTTGCACTTATTGTCGTACAAAATGTCGTTTTCCCAAACGACATTTGTTAAGAAATGTTGCATTATTGGGCGAGTAAAGATCATGCTATTCGTATAAATAAATTTGTTGCGAAATTGTTGTCATAGGATCAGTATGTGTCTAAAGATATACCGGGTACCTGAAGCCCAGAAGCGCGTGCGTAATAACAAATTAATGTAGTTTAAAGTGGACAAAGGAGAGAAAAAAGCCCGTTACCTTTTAACTGAGTTACTCAGAGTTCATGGCCATTTAAATCACAGTCATGTATTTGTTCGATTCTCAAAGACCTTCAAAGGCCTTCAAAGAAAAGGTCATATAGCATTGTTTTATGGAAATGGAAATTACACAAATTTGAATACATAGGGTTTGTAAAAGGGCGATGAAAGTCTTATGGACCAAAGAATTAGTTTGGAATATGTTTCAACGCTAACTGTGTTATAGTAAATCATTGTGTAGGAAAACGTTATTTATTAGAAAAAAAACTGTTGAAACGTGTCACTGGATCAAGTTCTGATTTACGTTATATGATATCAGTATTATTACTACATAATATTGATTAAGTATATATATCATTTGCTTTAAAATATTTCTTTCATTGTAAATATATCTCATAGGTCTACATAATTTGCCTCCGACATTTATTTACCTATTTTCACAACGTCTCGTTTAAGATTTCGACGAATTTATAGGGGCATATCTGAAGTGAGTGTTAACAAAGCTTGTTAATGCAACTGAGAGCATTTTTGCGAATTTACAAAATAAGGATAATAAGGATGTTAGATTGTTTGCTCAGACTGCTGTCGCCACATATTATCAAGAAGGAGAAGCAATAAAATATGAGAGCCATATAACTCAGCTGAAGAATCCATAAATTCGGGTATAACCTCTTCACTATCTTCAACAATCCAGCTACAAAATTTATTATCTGTACTAAAACTGTACCCTCTACCAGGACCACAGATTCATTTTTCACTAGATACTGTATTGACAAATACATGCATGTCTCTAGTTAAATGATGGATCTTTTCTGCGCTGAAAAAGTACACATAATAAAATCTGCGGCCCTGGTAGAAGTTAGTAAATCTGTACCAAAAAAAAAAAAAACATACATACGTACACCGAGCAAAAAAAAAAAATAATAATAATAATAAATAAATAAACAATATGGTGAACGATCTATGGAACATGGAACACCGAACAGCAAACTTCACTGTTTATGATTTAAGGTATAAATAACCCATAATGCTGATATATATATAGATCAGCATTATGGGTTATATATATATATATATATATATATATATATATATATATATATATATATATATATATATATTTTTTTTTTTTTTTTTTTTTTTAAAGTAATTGTGTGGGGG